CCGCCGCGCCTGCTGCCGCCCCAGGTGAGGCGCCGGAGGGAAGTGGGGGAAACTGAGGCCCGGAGGGGGCGGCGGGGCGAGCTCGTCGGCCTTAGAGCTGCTTAGAGAGGACAGTATCCACCCGCTTGAAAACTCAGGGCGTCCCCGGGCTAAGCTCCTTAGGCACAGCGGTCGGCCGCCACCCGTCACCGGTCCATCATTTGCAGCATCTCCAAGGCTCCTCGGTCTAGGAGCTTTTGCCCACACTGGGCCCTCTGCCTGGGACGCCCTCGTGCCTTCTCTGCTTTCACAGGTCTGCTCAGGGCTCCTCCGTGCTGCCTAGCTCTTCTTATAGACCCTCGTCCATTCATCTAGTATTTATTGAGCACTTACTGTTTTCCAGGTACTGCCCTAGTGCAGTAGGTACAGCCTTGACCACACTCACTGAAGAACATGAGGCAGATTCTGGGAGTGACAAGGGGGCTACTTTACAGTGAGAAGTCCCCTAGGCCTGGCACTGGAACTGAGACCTGAACGGATGAAGAGAGCTTTTCAGGTGGAAGGCACAGCAAGTGCCAAGGCCCAGGCTTGGGACAGAAACGCATTATAGTAGTTTGCTACAGTACTTACCACCCTGAGGGGTAGTGACTGTGATTTGTAACCCTAGTGTCCAGCACAGTGCCCGATGCACACTTCATGAATGAAATATGTGAAAGCACTCTGTATGCTACAAAACAACCTTTCTTGGTGGGTTTATTTCCCAGGTCACACAGCCCTTGGCTGCTAGGGGAGTTGAAACTAGAACATGGTCTGGGCACAGAGGCTCCTGAAATCTTACACATCATCTGTAAAATCACACCTTTCAGCGCTGGGGTTTTAAGTGACAAAATGCTTCTCACCCCAAAATTGCCAAAAGAAGAGAGCTTCCACTAGAAGAAATAGGATAGAGAATTGAATCAACAACCTTCACTTGTTTTGGGTTTTTTGACTAGTGATTTTGGCTGCTTAGAGTTGTACCCAGTTGCTCATCAAGACTGGAGAGCTGTCTCGCTAAAAGCTGGGGAGACAAGTATGATTCTGCCCAAACACCACACTTCCGAGAGGTAACTCAACCTCTTTAGGCTTTGGTTTCCTTGCTTGCAGGAAGGATGGATCCTTGCATTAGCTTTCTGGCTTCTATTCTCTGCTGGAGAACCATAGACCATGCACAGCAAGTCTGAGTCAGAAGACTGCAAGGCACCATCCAGTGGCTGCCCTTCACAGAGCCCCTACTCTGTGCCAGGCACTGTGCTGGGCTGCTTAGTTCTCAGCAGCCAATCAATAGTGTCTTTGTATCAGCATTTTACTGGAGGGGAACAAGCTCAGAGAGGTCGAGTGACTTTGCCCGAGGTCCCATAGGTATGGCTGCATTCCTGACCCCGTGTACTTTTATGGGGGTGAGGAGGTGGGGGGCTGGCCAGTACTGGGATCTAAATAGATCCCCTGTACTCTTCACTACACCCCGCTGAATGACCACAGCTTTTTAATTGAGTTTGGTGTGGCAATTTAGGAAAGAGTCCAAAAATGACATATGTTACATAAAAAGAAAGCAAATTTAATCAAGGTTAGGCAGCATGATAAGGTTGTAATCTGTAGCTGATCTAATGGGAATAGTATAAATTTATACTACCTGCACTCTCAGTGATACACCTTTGCAGCCCATTCTGCTACTCTTTCAGTCTCAACTGTGCTATGGAGGCCACAAACGCAAACCAGATGTGTACCTTATCCCTAAGGAGTTTATGAACTTACAAAAGGTAAAAACATGACCCAAATGACTTCTAGTCAAGGTCAGAAGACTAGAGGTACAGATAGAGAACTAAATGCATTTAGAGAAATAGAGCTTATTTCT